ATTGAAATTAATTTTGTAGAATATCAAATTAGATTCTGTTTGTTTAACTACTTGAACTGTAGGGGTTACATGCCAGATAAAGGAAAGTGTTTTGAATATAAAATAGTTCAAAATTAAGTCATTTTAAAATGAGAATGAATGCCATGAGAAAAGCTCAGTCCCCTTCAGCTCTGATTAGTGACTGTGTGATGCTTAAATGGGTAGACTTGAATATTAATATGGTTGGTGTGTGCTGTGTTACATCTTTTCTATATAAAAAGCAAGATTAGAGGTACAGCATCAGCCATATCTGATTCTGTTACTTCATAACATATATTTTCTTTGTTTTGCTTTTTCCCCCAATTACAATGTTTTCAGTGTTGTGATTTAAAACATGTTGCATAGTAAAAATGAAATTAACATTCTCTGGTTATTCATTTTTTTTTATGATTAAAACCATTTTTTTTCACTTAGAACCATGGTCTGCAGACACTATAGTTTCCTTTTTCAAAAAGCCCAAAACATTGAATTATCAAATGTGATGAAACTATAGAAGGAACAGATAGAAAGGAAAAGAACAGAGAGAAAAATAGCAGGTAGAAGAAGAGAGTGGGAAAATGCGGCCAAATTTTTGTGCATTTATGCAGCACAAACTAGGACTTATGCAGCAACATGACAGAAATGTAAATTATGACCATAACATTGCTACATAACTAAAAGGAGAGGCCTGCTTAATTCCTATATTTCTTCACATATTGCATGTATTTTAGGTATATCTGATGAGTTGATTTTAGTCAATTATGTAATTGCAAATGTATTAAAAATAAAAAATAATAAAAACTATCACACTGAAAAAGTTTATAAATGCTTTCAGGTGTTTGTGGCCATCTACATCTCAGTGAAAATTTGAAACTAGCTTAAAAGTGTTTTAGTTTTTTCTTATGCTACATTCCTATTTTCTGTGTGTATGTCTGTGTATATCAATTAATGATCCAGTGTGCACCACGTTTTATTTACTCTATTTGAAAGTATTATTTTGGTCTTTCTTTTGAGGATATTGGTATTAGTATTGATTATAGATTCTGAGAATTTTTATCTACTATGTCTTGCCACCTTGTGGTTTTATTAGATCAAGAGAACCTTCTTCCTTTCTGATATTTTTATGTTTAGGGTTGTGATGATAGAATTCAGATTTTTTTTTTCTCCTCCTTCCGGTGGTTCTGCTTTCTGAATCCTTGGCATCTATGTGATCTCCATTGAGTTGGAGTAGGATGTAGTAAGTATTCCACAATTAATGCTTATATTGTATTAATGGTGTATTGGTGGTATTAATTTGGTGGATTCAACGTTGTAATGCTGTATTCAGTTCTCGTAAGATCAACTGTCCTTGTTTCCTAAGTCAACTCTCATTTCTGAAATGAGTTAAAAATAAATTCTATTGTTATAAAGACAGACAAAGTGAAAACCGAAAGTGAGCATATTCAGAAAAACATTTTCTTGAACAAATAAATTGTATAGTCTTGCAAACGCCTTGCTGGTCCTGAACAGTTTGAATATCACGTTAATTACATTCATAGTTTGTTAGAGAAAACTTTCAAGTTATAAGTATAAGAGAATTTGATTTGCCAGATTTTCTGAACAACCCTTTCTTTAAATTTCTACCCTGCACAAATGTTTTAAAATTTTAAATCTTCCCTGCTTCTGCAAAATGAGTCATATCAAATTGTGGTCGATCAAAGTATTGTTACATTTATTGGTAAATTTATTTTTCTTGAAGAGACAAAAAAAGTTGTTTTTGCAAGAACCTCATTCGTACACTCAATAATTTCAAAAATGTTCAAAAATATTCTGTGCTGTTTTCTTTTAGTAGTCATTTGAGGCAGGTCAGTTTGGTAATTATGCTCCACAGGGGCATAAGAAATGAGGAAAAAAAAAAGGATGAATAATGATTTGTTAGCATTCCTTTGTAAATCAGTGATAGAAATCTCATTTGAAATACTTGGTGTGGCATTATATCAGTGCGTTCCACAGAAAAATGCTGGAGAGGATGCAGAAAAATCTGGGGATGAAAAATTTTCTTGCAATGAGATATTATAAAAGTAGGCTGGAACTTCTTGTCTACAGAAAGATGGCTTTGGTTGAGAACTTCTATTTACCCATTTGTCATAACACAGGAATATTCGATAAAGCAGTAAGAAGTGACAAATGCCAAATGTTTGAAAGAGCTGTTCTTGAACTGCTGCAGTATAGCACTGAGAATAAACTAAATGAATAAACTAAACGAATAAATATAATATAGTGGAGAATGTTTAACACAGCTTTTGAAGAGGGAAGTATAGTTCTGATGCACCTGGAATTTCAGATTATTTATCAACTTTTTTAGCAAATGTTCTAGAAAGTGTACATACGTAGCTTCCTATAAAGTATACCTATGTACCTTCCTATATGAGGAATATGTGGGAAGAGCTGTAGCAGAGCTGTAAGACCGTGTAGTCCATTAAAGCAAAGAGAACCTGAGATAATTATTACATTATTATACAGGAGAAAATGCAGCATTTTTTCCTTTGAATTAGAGTATATGAGACATGGAATTCATCTCTGTAGCATTTTGATAAGGTCAAAATTTTAAATTTATTAAGAATGGAATTGGAAAATTAATGGAGAATTGCCTAATAAGTAGTAGCTGTTAAACATAGTGGTGCAGATACAACCTGTCACTCAAGATATATTATCCTCTTTTGTTTAATGACAAGTATTTTGCATTTTCTCCTGATGTTAGTAACTGTGAAGACAGGCTATATCCTAAGTGGACTAATGCTCTGATCTGCAGTTGCAGTTTCCAGATTCCTAATTCATACCTGACTGTATATCTAAATATCCAAAATTTTATCTTTAAGAGCACTGTATCAAAAGAAGATACATTATTTAAAAAATAGGTTGTTGTGTGATTCATTGAGATTTTTTTTTTCCTACTGGATAAAGGTGCAACGCATTGTAATGTCAAGACCAGATGTGACTGTTTTGTTGCTAAAGTTGGTGAGGAGATTAATATTAAAAATTATTCTTGCCATAAACAAATTACTTTAGGATGTGATGAAGAGGAAAGCATAGGAAAGTCAGTTTTCTGTATGTTGGGGAAGACTTTACATGCAATACCTGTAAGTGGAATTATACTCACATTAAAAAAAGGATTATTTTATGGAAAACATTTTTGCCTAGCTGTTACTGTTTGCACTGAAGAGTGGCGACAACTTCTGGGAGTATAATGTGTGCTATTGGTCCCTGATATGTAGAAAGCAATTTTCTTTTGGATCCCTATTGAGGACTGAGTAAATAAATACGTTGTGCAGTTTTGACTAGATTATTCAAACTCTGTTCCTGAATCTGTGTTTCTACAATTTATTTATTTAAATGTAAGAAATTCTCTAGATGCCTCCAACACTTTTCTGATTTCTTTGACAAAAGACTACTTCCTCCTCTCCTGTAAATGTTCAGGTTCTTGTCAACCTATTCATCCTGTCATTTTCTAAGAGGCCAGCTGGGCACATTCAGGACTGTTGTCTACTATTTGGAGGTCTCCCACACTATAATAGATCAGTGAAATTAAAGAGAGTTCCAGGTTAAATCTACTGTGTCATATTTTTAGCTAGTAACCTTTTGCCTTGAGAAAAATATTTGTTAATTTGTTTTTGTAAAATATATATGTCTAAATTTGCAAGCCTAGATATTGGGTAATTCAGGTTAGAGTTCAACAGTCTTTGGAAAATGTTCCTCTTTAAGTACCCATCATGAAACATAAGGATTACCTGGTGTAGGAGTAGTCTTGACTCTACAGAAAAAAAACAGATGCAATTGGAAAATGCTGGTGAATTTAAACATTTGAAGAATCTAAGAGTCACCTACTGATTGCGCATACAGATCACTAAAACAATTGTCTACTACTTATGGTTTTAAGTGAGCAGCAGAGCCACAGATGATGCTTTTGTCCCCGTGTATCTGCAGAGCATTTAACCTTATGCTTGATTTTAAACTCGTTCTTAAATTCCATTGGCTTCTGAGCTGAAAGGGAAGCATGTGCTTATGTGGTTTGCTGAATACTGATGGACTTCAGGACAAGGGAGAGCTTTTGTGCATTTAGGCTTAATCAAGACATATATCTAGAATGCAGAATGTTTCTACCAGAGTCAAATACATTTGTGATTTGATTGATCTCAAATACAGCTCATTTTTAACACTGGTGTGTGATTTCACTAGGGCAGTCTGCTTTTACCTCTTGAGTTTTGTGCTTTTGTAAGGACTTTACTGTATGGCTTTCCTTTTTAAGAGGCTTTAAGAGTTAAAAATAAAAGGAGACAGAAAAAGTGAAAATGGAAATGGACTGTGAAAATGGAAACAAGAGCACAAATAGTTAATAAAACGTAGGATGTTCAAGTAAAATGAAGTCAAGTTTCTTCTTTGAACCTGATATCTATTGTATAGCAAGCATGATTTGAAGAAGCCATAATAACTAATAAGTTATCTGTACCTGGATTATGAGGATAAATTTGCAGATAAAGGTATGTGTATAATGGAAGCTTCAAAACCTGCAAATCTGATATGATAAATGATTCAAAATTTAATATATTAGCTTAAATTTTTATGTTTGCAAAATGAGTGAAATACTATATCTAATGCAAAAGCCATATTATCATAAATATATTTCTCAAAATATAAGACATAAATTGCACTTAAATTTAGTAATGTGTGAAGGTATTCTTGAATGTATCTTTGTGATTAAATGTGAACAATTGCTCCTTTAAGGTAAAGGTCTGTGTATGTGTGATTAATCAGATTGAAATGACAGGGCGGACAGCTCATGCCATGCCTAGTTATCACAATGATTGATTTTAGTCGATGCCACTGGATGAAAAAATATCTGTTAATAACTACAGCTGCAAAACTCCTGATGTCACTGATAGTACAAATCACTTCTCACGTTCTGTGTTATCTGGCTCATTTTCAGACACACAGCATACAAACAGATCTATTGGAATGCAAAATTATAATGTACAGATTTATGCAAGAGGAATGACTGCAAAGTGCATTGCATGAGTGCTGTAAGAAGCTGAAATTGCTGCTGTTGTAGCTGTCACAGGCACGCTATTTTCTTTGGTATGTATGGAGTTTTTTTCTGTCAGGCTTTTATCATGCCGACTGTTTGTGCTGTTCATCTCTTCCTGCTTAAAATAGAAAATCAGTCAGTGAACATGGAAGTGTTTTTGGAATAGTTCTTAAGTAACTTGATTGATTTGTACTTTCTGATGAAATACATTTGGTTGTTTATTAGAAGCTCTGAACAGACATGTTCTGGAATCAACAAATGTGATTATAAATTACATTGTATTGCATTAACAGAACTCTGCAATAAGTAAATTCCTTGACACGCAGTAGTCAGTATATTTTTATTTTGAAATATCTGGAGAGTTTATCAAATATTGTGTTTGATCAATATTTTACAGATCAAACTCATCTCTAGGTGTCTCTAGACACTTAGAGTAGTAAAGCTGGTCTCATAAGGTGATAGGGCTAATGGGGAAGGTGGGTGTCTGATGGGTATCAGAGTAGGAGAGGGACAATAAGTCTTACATATTTGGCAGGATGCACTGCACTCCCATTCCCTCTACTTATTACTGCAATGCAAGAATCTACAAAAGACATTTGTACTGCATCATTTTCTGCACTTTTCCCTCTGATGAAAATGCTTAGCACTGGAGGGTGGAATAATCTTCAGTTTTTCCAGCATCTCATGCCCACAGACTGCAGAATACAAACAGTGCTGGGAGGGTACAAATCCCTTTGCATCAGTATTAACTGATTCTCTTCCCACACCTAAATAATGCATCCTGTGTTGTTCTAAATCCCGCCCCCCCAGCCAGCCTTTCTCTTGCTTCTGACATTGCCCACTGGACAATGACAACACACATTTCCCATACCTCCCAACATAAAGATTTCCTGCAGGTAACCTTGTTGCTATAGACTCTTTCCCCCTAGAATTTACAAATGCATCAATTTTTAGGAACTATTTGCAGCCCTCTACAGCCATTTACATTTACAGCCATTTTAGCAGTGGTCTGAATTCATGCCTTTTTTTTTTTTTTTAAAAAAAAAAGAAGATTCTCTCTTTTTTTTTTTTTCCTCTTTCAAGCCTCTACTTCCTCTGTTTAGTTAAGATTTTCAACTTCAAAAATCTTCTAAGAAGAAAAAAAAAAGTAGCTGTTTAATGTGCATGCTGCTCTATCATGCTGCTGTTTAATTATGGCTTGTGTTCTGTAGGAAATCAGACTGTGGTTACAATGATACCGATTAGCCTCGACATTTTATGAAGGTAAATGATAGGAGAAAAATTGTAAACTATGGGAAAGTAGAGATGATTATGACATAGTAAAGATATTAAAGAGTAACCTTCCCTATTATTTGCTCTTATTTCTCCAGAGGGGCCTGGTTTGGATAATGATTTAGTAAGTGCCTCTGTCTGTCACAGAGAGATCAAGTTCTTATTGAAAGATAAGCAAAGATACACCAATGTGCACTGCAGGAATTTGATGGTAATTTTGTAGCCATTGATACATTAAATGTGAGTTCAGGTAGACTGGCATATTTCTGAAGTCTATTATTGAAATTTTTTAAAAATATGCATTTTTAAATTATTCCAGTGAAACTTCTAGTAATAAATGTAATGCATATACAAAAGACTTACCAGACTTACCATGACACAAAAACAACATTTTATATAAATAATTTTCATCACTGAATAATTCTTATAGAGACCAACAACATAACCCTCACATATTGCCATTCTATTTACAGGCCCACGGCTCACAGCTGAGAATTACTCAGATTTTGCCTCTGAATGTGGACTTGAATCTGCAGTGGGATACTCATTCCTGGCTTCCCTATTAGACTTTCAAATCAGCATTAATTGAATTTCATCCATCTCTACTTCTGAATCACTGTAAACCATCATAAAAGCTTCAGAATCTCTTCCAGTGGGACTCAGTGAAGACAGAAAGCCCACAACTCAGTCTTCCCTGTTTCCTATTTGCCTCCCTGGCAAATATTTTGGACTATACTGTCCTGAATATTAGGTGTTACAGGAGTTGAATGTGCTGGGAGAAAGGGATCAAGTATGACAGGCAAGAAGTTTAAAATGTTGATTGCAGTCTCGTAGTAGCTGGGTGATGAAAGAGCAAATGTTTCATTCTGCTTTCTTCAACCTGACTATAAGCTCCTTTTCTATCACTAGTCAGACATCCCTCATTTTGAGTTCCAAGTTATGTGATTCTCCATGAGTTGGCGTCAAGAAACAGGGTTGGTTCAGTCCTGGAGTATTGCCATCTTTCTTTGCCAGTGACAGCCTAATTTCTTTGCAGTCTGCTCATATGCTTCCCTCACCCAGTGCCTCTTCTCCTGTAGCTGAAAACAAAGGTCAGAGATTGTTTAGAAAAAATCAGGAATTCTCTGTTGGAGACTGTCAGTGTTTTTCAAGAAGCCACAGTTGGGTGCCCGTAGTAGAGAGTCTATGTTATTTTTCAGTATCAATGCAGGTGTTTTCATTCCTACTGAATCTGGTATATTAAAAAATAATTCCTGGCATGTTTTCTTTTATTTTCTTAATCTTAGAAGGGAAAATATAGTCAGAATTTTTTCCTTCTTAATGTACTAAACAGATTAGTTTGTGTCAGTTTTCTATGAACTATCAAAACAAGGAACTCAAAGTTGGCTAAATATTCTTTTTTTATCATTACTGGTTGTGGTTTATTCATCATAGTAAGTAGATGTTTGTTACCTTTTCATTCTTAATACAAATGCTTTTATATATATATAAACGCTCAACAAATATAACATAATATAATATAACAAATATAATGCTCAACAAAGTGCAATGCACAGAGCTTTACTGGTTTTGTTGCGTTACTCTGGAAGTAGACCTAAGGAAGTTATCTAGCCAAACTCAAGTCAACCAAGTTGGTAAGAGAATTACTACAACTTGATGTAGCCAGCTTTATACTTAATAATCTTTAATGTGGAATAGTAGAATCTAAACTGACCAAAATTCAGGTGTGTGTTGATGGATGAGTATTATCAGCTCAAATATAAGTAGTTTGATGTTTTAAGTCCCCTTTTCATTCCATTTTGAGTTACACTCTTGAAAGAGAGTAATTTGTTAGCCACTTCATGTTAAGAAAAGCAAGATCTTATTGTCTCTTCAGTAATAACATTCTACATGCAACTTATTGCTTACTGCATCATGGGTATCTTCAGAATCCTGAATTTACTCAGACTTTTTCAAAATGAAGGAAAATCTAGTATTTGCTGTTAGTTTCTGTTGCTGAGTAAATAATTTACAGTTAAGAATAAAAGTGAGCTGACTCGCAAGAAAATATACAGAGAAATTCTAGTCCATATTAATAGTAGTATAGTAGTACCAAATTTGTGGTGACAAATAGACAAAATGTCTTAAATATTTGTCTTAAATATTTAGGTAGTTATTTAGGGTTTTTTTTTTTTTTTGTATAAAGAAAAAGAGGCTGGAATTTTTGATCAAGGAAAGGTAAGTATAGGTACACCATTTGTTCATTTTTCTTTAGCAGAATAAATGAGTAGCTTTCTGGTTGTATGTTTTTATAATGGGAAAAATATAATATTTTTCATGGTAATACTACTGTATGGTAATATACTAATGTTGCTACGCTCAGGAATCTGTTTAAAAATACATAATCCATGATTCTCAGTTGGATAGTGTGCTTGATAATGCTGTTTTCATAACTAAAGATATTTTATTTAGGTGTAACATGAATTAAACTGCTTAAATTTCAGCAGAGTGGTAGTGTTGTTAAATTATAACCTCTTATACTAAAAGCGATAATACCTCTTATCATTATTTGAGTGTGTTGTACTGTGCAATTTTGAGGAGGAGGAAACTGAAGAGGAAATTAAGAACTGAGCTTGAGTTCTTTATTATTCTTTATCTATTATACCACAATCTGCATTTACTTATGAATGGGTCTATGGTGGGAACTCAATGGGTTAGTTTGCCTATTCTATATTCTATTCTATAAAGCATATACATGTTTTATATAGTTTGTACAAAATTTTAAAGACCTCAGCATTTAAAGTTAACATGACCGATGCATTGGAATAGTGGGATCTTGGTGGTTAGTATTATACAATGTGGATGCATAAAGTTGGAACAATATACCTAAGATATGCTTCTCTTTTCCCCCAAAAAATAGCTTTATATTACAATTTGCTATTGAAATAGAGAAATATTTTCCAAAAAGTATTTTCTAGTGGGTGCAAATACCAACTCTTCACATATCTTGCAGTGATCTATCAAACAAAATGACAGAAGAGATAATCCTATAGTGCTTCCTCCAGAAAATTTGAGTGTTCTGATGCACATTCCTACTCCTGAAATTGGTCTGGAACAACCAAGCCAGAATTTGATTGTGAGGCTTCAAATATTTTACAGTATCATATATGCAAAAATATAGCAACTACTTGAAAAGTTTTTGTTCTGGTCCAATGCTAGTGTATGTGAAAGTGTGTAAAAGATATTACTTAATGTAAAAAAAAAAGAGGAAGCAAAAATATAAAGAGGTGGAAAGTAGAAATTTAGCAATTTTGAATAATGAAGACTCTGCATTTATGGTGCAAAATCAGCATTAAAAATAGTCTTTTTTTATTAAACATTTGGTCCACCTTTAGTCATTATCTGTAGTTTCAGAATTTAACTTTTGGGGCCCCTTTATGCTGCATTGTTAAGGAATCTTTTTGCTACACGATCTACTTCAGGGAAAGACTCTATAAACCTGTCTTGTTAGAGCTTCTGGAAGCAATTGCTGCTGTGCCTAGAAGGGATAAATCAGGAGTCTTATTCCAGAATTCTTCAATTTGTTGTAGTGTTGTTGTAGAATATTTTAGAAAGTGCATTTTCAGATAATAGTTCACAGAAGACATTTTTGGTTTTATATCGGGTTATGCACAAGGGTGTTTCACTGTGTTAAAATATGTGTTGTTCTCTGTTGTGCTCTCAGTACTCCATAGACCAAATTCAAACAGCTTTTTTTTTTTTCTTACCTTAAACTTCTTCTCCTATTTTTGCCTTAAACTCTCATTGCTGAACATAAATATTTGAATAAATTGTAGCTTCAGTTAACCTGCTCCCTTCTAAAACAAACAAATAAACAAACAAACAAACAAAAAAAAACCCTTCTTACTCTTTTCTATGTGAAATCAGGCAACCATCAAATATGTTCAATAAAATGTGTAATGTGTATGGTTATGTTGATTAATAAATACCTAAGGTATATACTTAGAGAACGAAATCTTAGAGAATGAAATCACTGTAGTCTGCTGTTGTGGCCACTTCCCGGCAAAGGAACTTGGAAATCTTTGGAGAATAATGAGTTAAAAAAATGACAATAAGCAAACTTAGCTAGCTAACTGTATTGTTGTTTAGCTGCTTCAGCTCTTGTAGCATGCATTTTTAAATTCTTTAGGTCATTGTGTTTATTTATATTGTGAAAATATAAATATTGCTTGTATTGTTTATTTATAATGTGAAAATACGTCATCTGTTATTAACAAAGTATCAATGATATTAACAAAGAATCAATTGATATTTATTGATATTATTGATATTGTGAAGAAGCACAATTTTACTCTTTTCCTGAACATTTCAGTTTCAGGGAAGCCTTTTTTCATTAGAAAGTAGAAAAAAGAGAGTATAAAAATAATTAAACACACAACCTGCTGTTTGAATTTCTTTTTTTGACAAGGCTTTCTTTGGATGTTCACAGGTTTTGTGTTTCAGAAGGAAATGTTAGTTTGTATTCTGAAACATGCACCAGTAACTATCATAGTAAGCTATGGAAAACATTAAATACTTATACACTGTTTGAGCTCTAGATTATTAACCCACTATTAAATGTGGTAGAACTTGGCCAATGAGTCAAAAATTACATTACATAGGGAAAGCACAATCTTAAGCCTGTTTCCTTTAGAAATCAAGCCTGCATAGTGTTGAAAGAAGAAAAAAAAAGATAAATTACTTACATAAGAAAACTTAGAAAACTTATATGAAGAATTAGACCACTGTGTTCAAAGAGATCTAGGATTTTTTTCAGTGGTAGGAGTGTTGATTCTTGTGATTTATAGAAAACACCTGACTTCTATACTCAATCAGTGGTATTCTTCATTTATTTTGATACCAGTGAAATTGTAGCATAGGTGAAGACACAAACAAAATGCTCCTTCTTCTCTTCTTCCTTATTGTGTTTAACATAGTGTAGACAGAAGTTGCAAAGAAGGGAGACCGACTGTGACAGAAATTAGTCCACAGTTAGGAATAAGGGTAGGCAAGGAAGAGTTTCTAATGCTTTATCATATATTAGAATATTAATAGACAGCTATACCAATTAGATAAGAAGCTGTGGCTTCTAAGGAATATGGCAGCTTTTAAAAACAAATTATTTTTTGTTGTCCCTTTTTTGAGAGAGGGAGAAATGGAATTGTCTGTTGAAACAGAATCACTAAAATAAATCTTAAATTTATCATACTTCGTCTATGTGTTTTTTCACTAACTGAAAGTGTAGTTTGAGATTTAAAAATTATAATTTTCTCTTCTCTTTTTACTCAAATGTCCTTTATTTTCATGTGCAGGCAGAAAGACCTGGGAATAAGCTTCCATGCTGTGCATATAAATAGCTCCTCCAGCAACTAGCAAGAATTAAAACTTTGTATTAACTGCAATAGCTGCATTAACTGGAATGGTTTATCCAGGATACATTAACTAATAAACTTGCATCTATTTAAGAAGGAGTCTAATTAAGATACTTCTGTCACATAGACCAAATCACATTGTTTATTATAATAAAGCCTACATAAAATAATGAATATAATATTTCCTATTTGATAATTTCATTCAAATGAGATGACTTAAAGGTAATTTCTCCATTTTAAGCATTTAGTTTCATGACAATGAAACTCCCTAGCAATTCACTAACTATAATGCCTCAAATGTTTGCCGTTATTAGGAAACATTTAATGTAAGATTAGATTAGTCATAAATTTTTTATAGGAAGAAAATATAGCCTCCACGTTGCTTTTCAGTGTCTTTGTGCATGCCTCTCTGTGCATCTGCATGCCAATAAAAGGAATGCTGTATTAGCATATTGCACTCCTACTAGTTTCTTGTCTTTTGGGTGTTTCAGACTCAAAATACTCTGAAGATAATTTCAATTTTGCTTGCAAAATCACAAGGGTAAATCTTATGAGGACTTGCTTTCTCTCCCTGAAGCTATCATCTCCTCAGCTGCGTCCCCTTGAATGACAGCAGCCTTTGGGGAAAAAAAGTTATTGTCCCTCCCTGCCTCTGAGGGGCTGTGCCCGTCTCTGCATATTGCAGTTTGCACCTGGCACTGGGAGCAAAGGGTCCTACAGCCTCTTTGCTTGAAGCAGGCAGCCTTCTCCACTACCTCTCCAGACCTGTGTGCCTTGCTGTTTTCTTCTGTAATAGAAAACAAGTGTTTTTCATCTCTGCGTCATGGTGTGGGGTTAGAGAGGGTTGTGGATTGGAGGCAGCAATTTTCTTCTTTTGCCTAGTAACTTGAGTCACCTTTTGAACTGTAACATAGCAGATGCATAGTTCCTTATAAGTGAGACAGCTCAGTCTTTCCAAATCAATCAGTGAGGAAAAAAGGGAACAGAAGAATTGCAATTTCTTTCCATATGGTAGGAATAATGCAAATAAAAATATTGTATCTTTGGGACAGTTATTATATATATAAAAAAAGGAAATTTTTAAGGAAAACAGCCATGTTCTTCAGATTTTTCTTCATTTCCTTTGCCTTCTGCAGTCAAGAAATTCTGTAACACCTGCTGTTGTTGCATTAGGCCCAGGTCCCTGCTGACTGCTACTCTAATTTTTATGAGCAGAACAGCATTTTCCCAAAATTTCTCTTTCAGAGGGTCATCACATAGGTCTGGGTTGTGATTCACCTGTTGCTATTGAATTTCCACTGGGTTAGTGACCTTATTTGTAAATGCATCCTGTCTTAGAGCACACAGACCCTCACATAGGAACTGCAATCCTGAAACAGGTCCAGCTGTAGACCATGATCAGAAGCAGCAGCATGCTATGGGACTTCCAGGGGAATGGCTGTAGACTTGCAAAGAAATAGTGCCCTGCAGAAATTATGTGTGGGAAGGTGAGCCTGTTGAATGCTTTATAGCTGTTTTTACTGCAGAAGTCTAATGAGCTCAGAGAAAACAATGTTTGCACTCCTCCTTGCATTCTCCATTTCCCTTTTGCTTTTTGGAGGGAAAAAATCATACTATATATACATCTATATGTATATATTCTGTTACGGTCATATTTTTTTATGACTTAAAATGGTTGCTAAATATTGTAGAGCTATTTAAACCAGTTTACTGAAGTGGACTTTGCAACACAGCTTCAACAATTATTTGCTGGTTTATATCTACCCTCTAGATCTAGTTTTCTGCAGAGTTTTGTATATTAAATTGTTCAAATATGTTTTTGTGGATTGGAAATGTAGTTCTTCATTTGGAATTTTGATATGTTTCCTATGAGATTCCCTGATACATACGATAAATGCAGTTATAACTGAAGCTTGAAAAATCCACCCTAAAAGTGGGAGTAGTGCAAGTGAGGAGGCTATGCACAGTTTTTTGAACTTTAGAAGAAACTCACACCAGTGAGAAATATTACACAAAATGCTGCAGTTTCGTTTGTGTCACTGAAGTCTTTCTTGGATTTTTTTTTTCTTGGTGATCATAAAATTGAGGTATAGAGATATTAACTTCCTTGAATGTTGTTTACCTTGAAGTTGTACAGTGCATATTCTTCCATATGGATGCCAAAGCAATAACATTCCTTCAAAGAACACAATTGTTAAGAGACTAAAATACTAAAAAATACGTATTGCAAAGTATTTTTTTCCTTATGTGAAGCATGGAATTTTTATGCTTTTAAAATAATTATAGCTGTATTGTATTAACTTAGCTGTGGAGTCTCCTTAATGGTCTATACCAATACAAACAGCAGTTCATATTTAATACTTAGGAAGCTATTATTAAGCTGTATACATATGAATGCTGCCTTAGGTTTTTGCATTCTGCTTTTTTTGGCAGAAAGGAATCAGAAAGAAAAAGAAAATAGACTAACAATATCCTTTCGTACTGTTTAATGAAAAACCATTGCAAAGTCAACAGCATGATAGAATTTATTTCCTTTCAGCACATACAAAAGAAATAGCATGGTTTAGAACACCACCATTTTACCATTTATCTCCCTTTTATGCTGCATGATAAACACAGTGTTTCTCATGTAAGAAAACTATTTCTGCTTTTCATGCATTCTATAGAAAGAGAAAAAAATAATTTGTTGTGCACAGTGAGTAATGAAATCTCTTCTAAAGAGTTGATCTTTTGCTTAATTTTACTTTGGACCCTCAGAAGGATACATGCACTGACAGAAACCATTTCCTAGGTTTTGTGTCTGAGACCTCTGCCGTGGTGGGTTCTCCAAGTTCATACTATATAGCCTTCCTATCTCTAGGGATGTTTGCTAAAGCTTCTCTCCTTCTCCAGTCTGTTTTGATGGTACCTTTAGAAATGATGTGCTTAGCCTCTTCAGTCCAAGGTTAAATTTCAGTGAAACTCACGCTTCTGAATGAGATTAATGAGCATGGCAAGCAGGGTGCCAGAGTAGGTAGTATTGACTGCACAAACCTGATTAGACAGGAAACCAGGTTAAAATAGCTGCAAAATAAAGGCAACCTCTAATGCTTCTCTGTCATGTGGTGTGGAAAGTGTTAATCCCTCTATGTAAATAATAGTTCTAAGGTATTTGTATGTCATGATGGTGTGTTTGATGTAAATATTTTTAAGTAAGCTGGCCAGTAAGCTGGCTGTCACTGCTGCCTTAAGTAGCCAGTAAGCTGGCCGTCACCGCTGCCTAGGAGTTAGTCATTGCTCTGTCTCAGAACAACTCTACTGTGTTCATCACAGATGTTTTCCTGTAATGAATCAGCAAAATTGTGGTGAAAGTGCTGGAGATACTGGTATTTTGCCAGGTTTTAAATCGCTCATCTAACTCTTAGTTTATACTAAAAGCTGGAGCTAAAGCAAGTGCAGAAGATTTATCCCTTTTCCCCTTGAAGCTTTCTGGAAAGAACACAAAAACACATTCAACTTTCCTTTTTTTATGAAGGTATGATGGGGTGGGTACTTTACCTTAGATTGCAAATGCCAACTGGATTACTTAGAGAAACTTTGGAAAGATCTGGGTTCGTATGTTATTTGATCCAAAAGATGTATGTGTGGGGAGGTGGTTAGCATTCTCGTCCATAGAGATATGTCTGCATAATGGAAGATAAACAGAACTGGGAGAGCTCATAACTTTTGGATTTTTTTTATAATAAAAGTAAATTTTCTTGACACTCTGAAGTCAGGAAATGAAAAAGTGAAGGTTCTCATAGTAACATTAGCTTGCATAAATTCTGTTTTTTTTTGTTGTTGTTGTTGTTGTTTCTTGTACTATTTCTAATGCTTTTTATGTTACCATTCATTGCTGTTCAACTTATTCGTGCATGTGCAGGGGGGCTGGACTAGATGATCTCTAAAGGTCCCTTCCAACCTTAAGGATTCTATGATTATATGATTCAGTGATTATTTTCTGCCTTTCTTGCAGTTAAAGGATGAGACATGGGACAGACTGTAGAAAGTAGAATGTAAGTTTTTATTCAGCCTTTTGTGTTGATGATATGGCTGTAACCTTAATTTTACTGGTAAATAAGTTTTGAAATGTAAATATAAAGTAGCACATCCAAAAATGTCAGCAGCTGTGAGTGTGATGTGACAGACTGTGCCCCTCCAATGAAATACGCAGTGAAAAAAACAGCTAAGCCATGCAGTATCCTTCACTCAGTCCTGCATCTGAGCTTTACCTTCCTTCATGACACCTAACTCTGCCGATTCCTATGCATCAAGGTACATTGTTGTACCGTAAAATTCTTTTATTACTTATAAATATTCACCAACATACATAGTGTAAACTTCAGCTCTAGAATTTTCAAATGGTCACAGACTTTAAAAAGTATACGCTCTGTGTTTGTGTTCATGAGTTTTATCCTTTTTTTTTTTAATCCACTTTTGTGGACTGAAGAGACGTGCTCAGCATTGAGTGTGCTGCCCTCTGCTGATTTGTCTTCTCCTCATTGTAGCATCACCCTTCATCACCCAGATCAGGAATCGCTTTCCAAGGAGGTGCCCACATGAGGAGAGCTGGAGACAGTGACTGGGATTGACCATGGCTCAGCGATTGCTGGGCATATCTGCAGGACCAAGGTATGTGTGAAGTCCAGCAAGGGTCAGAGGGGCAAAGATCAGCAAGAACATACGTACCTACAGTGTAGTTCGGACAAGGACCAAGAATGAAGGCCTGAGCCTACATGCAGCTCCTGAGCAAAGACAGGTTTCTTGCAAACTTTCTCATGCAGCTCTTTTTGCAGCAGTCTGACCCAAATTTGCTGAACAGCACTGTTATGGCCTTGCAGCACAGATAACTAAATCCAAGGAGATGCAGAGGTGAAAGATACAGAGCTATATAGTCCCTGTGCCTCATGTAAGGCTCAGCTGCAATCTTCCTCTGTGAAGTATGAGGTGGATATAGTTTGTACCATTCCTGTCTTCAGTGCTATGAAATGGTGTGAGACTGGAGCCATGATATGTGGAATTTCCCCCAGCAGCATTTGCTTCTCTTACCCAGCAATAGAAAGCATACCATGGAACTTCCTATCATCAGCAGAAGCCTAGATATGAGCATTGCAGATCCAATGGCACCTTCTGATCTCAGTGACTCATGTTGGCAGAGGAAATTTAGGACCTGATACTGCATATGGACTACTGGTACATAGAGCTCAAGGATAAACCGAGCTGGAGAAAAGTCAGGTTCTGAGAATACCTAAAGATTCTTGGGCCTTGTAATATACTTACAACTTTAAAACTTGTATTTGGATCAAAGGAGAAAATCTCCAGTATTAGATACTTTCACTGCCCCATGAAACAGTAAGTTTTCTGTCTTAAGCTTCACAGTGTAGAGAACTGCCTAATTTGTTTACTTTTTTGGGTTGTTTTCTATGGGAACTGAGAAGCAATGCTGCTTAACATATTAAGGTGAATAACTAAGAAACCTTGCTTACTTTCCTCAAATGTGTGAAGGCCAGCAGTAGCTAGCTAATGAGGATAGCTCATTTTGTTGTTTGTTTGCTAAGGAATACAAGAAAAATCTTAAATCATGAAGAAAAAGTTGTTCTCCTATGCTTCCCTTGTAAAAAGAATAGCAACTGATATAACATTATTAATATTATTCACAGAAGAAGGCGTATTTCACCAAAATAATTCCAGGAGATCAAAGAAAATTGGTTAAACTATTACCTGAAGGACAAGCAATTCCAAAATGTGCCCTCAGGATTTTTTTTCTAATCCTTAAGATTTATCCATTGGGATAGCTGCTTTTGGTACTTCTCAGTGTGATTTAAGTTGTCCATTTTATTTTCTAAAATCCAGTTAGAGATGGTGAATTTTGAGTTTTAAAAAGGATAACTTATTCAGCAGGAGGGCAGATAAGTATAAGTGAAGGACTTGTGGACTGGAACTGTTATTTGGGTATCTCTTGGTCTGTTAGGAGGATTACCTGCAGTGCTATATTCAGATACATTTATTCACTGTGTTTTTATCCTTTTTTTTGCAAAGTTCTAAATTATAGTTGTCAAAATTTTCCCATTTCTGATTTAGCAATGTAAAACTTTAAACCCAAGTGAGTAGCCTTCAATTTGAATTAAAATGTGTATCTCCAGGGACTGTAAACTCAGATTAGACATCTTTCTATCCAAGTGGTACTGCAGGTAATATGAAGTAATTTAGAAATTCTTTTCAGAGTTGCCCTTCCCCGATCTCCCATCATACACAGACACACACCTGAAGGATGAAACAGCATTTGAGAGAGAAAGGTACAATTCCTTGTGTTGACATTTCTTTGCATTAATCCATTTTTTCCAGCCTACATAGGCTTACTTGTCCTTGGCAAATGCTGCTTATTTCCATCTTTCTATCATGCCGGATTACTCATAACTGTCTTGTTTTTATGATAAAACAAAAGGCATATACAACTTTTATTCCTTTGATCTGTCCATTGTGTTAAAGAATTCTTACAAACGGTTTTGCCGTTTGAGAAGTGGAGCAAAACCACCGGTCCTAAAGAAAACATAGACAAGTCATCCCAAATTGATGTTGTCTGACCGTTTTGTTAGTTGTGTGTCTTCTCACAGAAGCTACATACACTAGCAGTGTGTGATTGCATAGAATATACCAATATATTTCACATATAAGTATATATAGTCTTATCTATGTGTGCATACAATTTTCTTTGTGGGAGCAATTCTTAATTCACAAGGTGAATTAAGGTAGCTTTTGTGGTTTTTGAAGCCATGTTCATTGGTCATGCAAATGATCATAAAACATTAAGTTGCTGTTACAGGTAGCTATTATTATTATAGTTTTAATAAGCTGTGTCATACTGTGTATTCATCTCAGGAAGAGGATACCGTAGCTCCAGTGGTATTACATCTCAAAAAGAAGCTGGACTTCACAGGTGAAGTGCTTCTGTCCCTCGGAAAGCTCCTATTCTGGAAGAAGCCTTCCAACTGAAGTGCTTCAGCATTCATGTAATACTTCTGAGGACTGAAATGCTGAAGTGAGAACATATTAAAATGCTTGAAGAAGTGATATAAATATTCTGAAGCTGAAAGCAATTAATCAGTTCCTTCTACATATGCTGGGAAGGAGCAGGGTAAAATAGTGATTCAGCCCACCATGGACGACACAACTACAATGCAGTGTTTTAACAGATCATGGTGCCCAAATCTTCCCTTGAATGTATTGATGTGTGGCATCATTTTATTCAGCAAACACATTAAAAACAAAACAAAACAAAAACCCAAATCCTCAAGGTCAAACAGTCCAAATAATGACAGGCAATACAATTGCATTTTTATATGTAAACAGAAAAGGAGTAGGAGAGCTCTTTCTCATTATGCCAAGTAGCAGTCTGGATATGATTTAATGCATTTGAAATTAAGTCTGTCTCTTCAGCTGTACACTTCTCCTAGGTCTGCAAAGCAGACTGGCAGACAGCATGAGCAGATGCTTTTAGTTGGATCAGGCACGTAGGAGACAAGGCAGAAGTTTCTTTGTACTAGCATTTCAGTCTGAGATTGCCCTTTGGATGTTCGAGCGGGACAGCAGCGGCAAGCGGTTCTACTAGCGTGTCACCATAGAAGGGCTGTAAAGGCAGCTCCCCTTTAAAGACCTCTGCTTACTGTAGAGATAAAGATCTCTACAGAGGGAGGTAACTCAATATGAACTTAATCTCCTTCTTTCCATCTCCTCATGGCACCTTGGAAATGTTTAGAGAATTTTTGCCATTTTTTGAGCCAGTCGATACAACACTTAGTGACTTTTGAATTGTAAAATGCATACCTTATTAAATAAGAACCTCAAAAAAAAAGGAGACAGATTTTTTTTTTTTAATTATTGAGGAAGAAGTAGCTTATTTTCTGCTTTCAGTAGCTTTTATATATGGTTCTTTATACATCAGCTCTGTGACTCAGTGAAAAACAACTCCCATTGGCCAGCAGACCCAGATCCCTATTCCTATCCCACTAGTAGGGCCTGATCTTTTTCTGAAAATTGCAGAAAATATCCTGCAACTTGGCATCTGTCCCTCTTCAATATATACCAATAAACACCTCCAAAGTGACATGAGATATGATACAACAGAAAATGTATTTGGAATTGGGACTGGATGTTGTTCATTGACATTGTTGGAAGTGTGATTTATTATTCTTGATGTGTTCAGCTCAATAATTTAAATTTTGCTTTAGAAGTAAAAATCATCTGCACGGTCTGGAAAGTGATTATGCCTACTTAAAAATCTAAATAAATTACATTTAATGGATAAGAGCAAGGAGTTAAAGAAAAACAACAACAAAAAAAGAGTTTAAAATGTCCTTCTTGGTCATTATCTATGTGCATGATTTTTCTTTGTTGCTCTTTTTATTCTTTTTTTTTTTTTTTATACTTAAAAGCTTTATTATGTGGATCTTTAGTTCTTCCTGTTTCCTTCATATCTTAGCTGATCTTTCAGCAAGAATTTATGGACTGAAAGCTAATTTTCTTTTTTAAGTATGGAATTTGAAGGCCACTTTTTCTGCACTTATTACTTAATTGAAGGAAGACCATGCATTGTTGTGGTTTTTTTTCCAATATAATCTATTAAGAATGGTATGAATTCTATAGGAGGGAGAACAACTCCTTTGATTTGATTTTTTTTTTTTTTTTTACTTCCTTCCTGGAGCAAGAGAGAAGCCAAGAAGACTATACTACTCTGTTCCCCCTTTAAGAAGGATTGTGATGGCCCAGTCTGGATTTAAAATGTGTGGAACATTTTCATGTTTCTTTTACACCTAGAGAAAATGGAAAATAAATGTTAAGAAAGGAGTACATTGAACACCGTCTCCATCTCTTTTTCCCGCCTTTCAAACAGATTTCTTGTTCACATAGAATCCCACTTTTACCCTTCCATCACTATTTTTTTTCTCTCTCTCTCTTTTTTTTTTTTTTTTTTTTTTTTTTTTTTTTTTTGTTATAGAAATGTATGATCACCGCAAGCTGCTTGCTTGACTTGTTAAGATGCAATCCTATGAATCAATCAGAATGTGACTTTGGACAATAAATACTTCTATTCAATTTCTAATCAGTATTTTACTGATGTGTTTGCCCAGCTTGATATCAGAGTGAGTCATTGTTTTATTAAAGGAATGCATTTAAATAAAATTATCAAATGCAGTGAATAAGGTATCTAAGTAGTAAAATGTATGTGATTTCTTTTTATAATATTTATGTTAAAATGATGACAATCTGACACTCCAGTTCTACCATGAGATACTTGCTAATATGGTAGTGGGATTGGGCTTGGCTCTGACTTTTCAGAACATGCAAATCTTATGAATGAGCCATGAAGAGTGAACTGTCATATATCAAAGCTTGATTATTCCACAAGTCTGTCCTTCAAATGTTTTCCTCTGATACTCTCATACCAAAAGTCAGGTCTCTGCAATTGTGATGTATTTAGTTTTGTCAGGAACAAATCCAATGATGCAAAAGGAACTTGTGGTTACAGTTTAATGCCAGAATACAAAAAAAAAAAAAAAAAAAAAAAAAGATAATTAAGTTATATTATGAATATTGGTTATAAATTATGTTGTCTCATGT